AAAACATGGAAAATGAAAACCCAACAAAACCCAAAGAAAGTAAATTCAATGATTTGTGAGAAAATAGGCGCGTGAGTGTGTCAGTGAGAAAAGGATTTCCATGGCAAAAATAGGTCATCAAACAGGGAAAAGAGGCTAGAAAAGGAAAATGCTTTCCATTTTCTAGGGAAAATGGGTGTATCAAACACACCCTAAATGTTTTCAACATTCATGAAATTAGCATATCTTCAATAAATTTATAGGGGAAAAAAAAAGGCATGCCCTAGTTTAACAACAAACCTTTTAACTCAATTAAGCCCATGTTTGATTCTTTTTTTAATTGAAAATCACTTTTCCTCCCTCTAATTTTCACCATACATACCACACATTCTCCAAAAAATCACTTTTCAAAAAATTACTTTTAAAGAAATCTCTCCCACATACAGGGCTAAGTGCTAACTGAAACCAACTAATCTGCCTGCCCAATACTGACCACGACGATCTGAAGTTGAACCAACTTATAGGGTTCTCGTGCTCCAGATCAACTGCACTTCAACCTTGCAAAGTACCAAAATTTAACCACCAATACGCACTGTACCTTCTACGATAAGCCTATGTTAATTTTTGTTCAAGGATAAATCCCACATTAGTTAAATACCGAAATATAGACCAACATATAAATGTTTGAGTTACTCCTCTTAATAAAGTTGATCTTTTAAGATGGAACTCCCCAATCTTAACATGGTATTAAGGTTCATTAAGCTCCAACGAGCAATTTGATCTGATTAAAACTAAAAAACTAGCACATGAATTTTAAGATTGGTTTGCTTAGATGAGTCACCATCTTGCGAGAGGCATGTTAAGAGAGAAATTCCACATCGATTAAATACCAAAACATAGACCAACATATGGGCTAGGGCTTGGGTCTTAACAATTATTAGTATGGCTGCATTCAGCAATTTTAGTCCATTTTATACTAGCATTTTATCTAACTACGGAACCAAATTAGTCTCCAATTTAACTACTCTTGTTTCCTCAAAATTAATTATGAGATCTTTCGTTTCAAAATTTATTTTTGTCAAAAATAATAAATCCTGAAAGATTTTGATAAAATTTAGTAGAGGGAAGTAATATTTGTAGATATATAAATAGAAGAGTTCTACAGTTCCAAACCATTAGGGATCTAAATATACACATCAATGTCAGAAGAAATTTCAGAAATCCATTCTAAAATAAATAATAAATTTGAGGATAGGAGTGGGAAATTCACTCTAAAAAAGTTCAAAACTTCAAAAGAAAAAGAAGAGTCAGTGTTATATTTCTTTTTCAGCGTGTGCGTATAGGGTGTGGGCAGAGAAGAAGAAGGAAGTACTGCACAAAACAATGACACAATCATCATTGTCTGTATCACCAGAAATTACCTGCATGTTTCCAATCAATAGAGCAAAAAGAATGAGGCCCAAAATAGCTAATGCAATGCTGAATATAGACTCCCCTGGGTAGGTGCTGGTTTGAAGTCCCTGGCCAAGTGTACTGCAGAGAGAAGTTATGTAATGCTGTAATTTGTGGAATCAAGCACAAAGACAAATTTGATCATTGAATTTCAACTCATAACCCAAAAATCAGCATATTCAATAAAAGTTTCCAACAACTGTACTTGAACAGAATGTAAATATAAAGATTGACAAACAATTAAAATGGATCAAAAAGGGACTACACGACTACTTCATAAGTTCCAGTAAATATGCATGATATTTGTACGATGAAGTACGTGGAATGTGGAGGCACCCTATTCTGACTATAATACGTTGTGGACACCTGTCTAGACACGAAAACAAGCTATCGACTATAGCCATGTCTAGATAGGAACCCATCTATACCACATAAATAGGGGTAAAGTGATGCACAAAGAGATAATACAAGGAAAACAAATATGGGAAGTGTGTCATCATAGCGATCCAAAAGTTCAATCAGACACTGATGCAGCCATTGTAAGGTCTAAATAACAGAGGGTTCAGACATTATTGAAATTCAAATGGTTCCAGGTGAGTGTAGAAGTCTGTTCACCTCAAATTTTGCAGTCCCCACCAGAGACAGTAGCAATATTTAGACAAGAAGTTTTTTGATGAAACTATGTCAGACGACAAAGCCTGCTTAAAGATTCCAAAATCAAATGGTGGATTGTTATCTACGTCTGCAGGGCAAGATGAATTTAGAACTGAATCGCTAATGTTACCCCAGGCAATGTAGCCACTCATCTTCTCGTTGCCACAATACAAGAAATCAGTGTTACATGCAGCGTTATGCTTACAAGCTTTTTGCCAGCATGTATCGTTTCGCTCCACTGATAATAAATACCAGAAAGCCCCAACTATCTGCAAACAGACCACTTAGAAGAGTAAAACAAAGTTTTCATCCTCAGGATTATAAATATTTATCACCCTGTCTTTAAACATTAGGACTCATAATAAACACAATAATTGTAAAAGTAGCTTTCTGCAAGAAGGAATAGCAGATCAGCATATTTGTCAGGATTATTGCCCTGAAAGCAAAATTAGTACCGAAAATATCATAAGACTCTATGGTTAATATGAACAATGCACAAAAATGTGAAAGATATAATTCATAAATTATCGTTGCATGACGTTTAAAATTTCTAGTGAAAGCTAGGGCACTACACGATGATGATGGATCTAGCCTAAAACATAAGTTGGTCAGCGGTGGATAAAAATGGACAGTTTATTTTGTAATGTCATAATGTTGTCCACACTTGATCATGAGTGGTAACTTCTAGGTGGAAAAGCACTGGACAGGACAAAGGAAACTACAGTTTAATGTGTGTATAAATAATGTAATTGAATGTCACTTGCTCACTTGATGTCCTACCTATCCTCAGTGAGTAATGAACTCCTTCTCATGACTTAGACTCTTTGATACATTAAAGGGCGAGATAGTTCAATGGATACAGGACCACATGGAAGGTTCTTGAAGATTTTAATAGGAGTTAAGAGATTAATTTAATTTTTTGAAAATAGTGACCGTTTCTCCAAGTGAAGCCATAATATAACCAAGTGTTAATAACAAGACAGATATTTTCAAGAAATATTACTTCATATGTTTATGAAAAGCAAATCACCCCAATCACAGACACCAAAAGAAATGGTTCTTGTTGATTAGGCTAGAATAACCACATAAGCCAATCCTTCTTAAAAAAGTCATCCCAATGCAAGTGTCCATTAAAACAGAGCCCAACATTCATAATTGACATTTAACTCCAGGCTCCATGTGATATGGCTTTCATGGCATTCTTCGTAATTTGTATATCGCAATCCAGGAGGGATCATGCAGGAGAAACCCAGAAGCCCGGGCCTGAACTACTTAAGGACTACTTACTATAGTTAAGATCGAGTCAAATTTTATGCCATAAGTTGTTGTAAAAGTAAAAGTACATGCAAAAATAGATAACCAATACTCAAACAAAGCCTACCAACAGAATAGTAGCTTACATGACTGGCAAGCATGTACAGCAGCAAATAGTTCACAGCACCAGCCCACGCAGTTTCAGCAAAAACACCAGTGGTCCTTTTCAGTTCCGAAGTTAAGGGCAAAATTCGAATAAATCTAGGGAAATACTGAAACAAAATGATAAAAAAAAGCGCTTGTTTTGTAGCCAGTACATCCGAGCCATTTGATCTCCGCAGAAATCTCCAGATTACAACCTGCACCAATTCATAAAGATGTACTCTTGTTAAAATGAATACAATAAAAACCGCCTAAAAGTTCCTGGATATCCAGTAGACCTATAGAGTTGTGATAAACATTGCTTAACAACATCACAGACAGACTGCTTCAAAATACTTAATGAGTTATGACAAACAATGCTCAATCGAATGCCAGCGACCTAAGAAAGGTGACTAAAATTGATAGTGCCAATTTGTTTATGGATTATCACACCACACACGAACCAGCAATGAGCTACATGCTTAGACATATCAAATAAGGAACACAGAACATAATATTTTGACATAATTAGAAGTGAATAAAGAAGAATAAATGCAGTCAGGTATTACAACTAGAGGTAGCGAGCCACGAGACCAAGGAATGGCAAGTAGACCAGCCCAAGTCACAGCCCACGAACCCCCAGCAAGCAATATCAAGACTAGGCCGGACAGAATG